AACCAATGTGGAATATCTTACAGTGCAGTATTGCACTGAAAGCCAGTGGTAAGATATGAAAAACCACTGTCACAATTGAATTATTATTGAAATCATCTTTTAACTCATCGGATCCAGCCCTGCCTTGAAAGTCTTCAGGGATGGGGCATCTACCATCTCTCTGGGCAAGTTGGTCCATTGCCTCACCACCCTCAATGCAAAAGACTTTTTCCTAATATCTGACCTAGATCTACCGTCTTTGAGCTTAAAACCATTTCCCCCTTGCTCTATCACAACATAAAATCATAGAATCATTGAGGTTGGAAAAGAGCTCCAGGATCATTCAGTTCAACCACCTACCTACCACCAGTATTTCCCACTAACCCCCCCCCTTTCCCTCAGTACAGCATTTAAATGGTTCTTGAGCACCTCCAGGGACAGTGACTCCACCACCTCTCTGGGCAGCCTCTAGCCAGTGCCTGAAGGCTCTTTCAGAGAAGATTTTCCTAACATCCAACCTGAAATAGAGCCTGCTAAAAGAGTCTTCCCCCTTCCTTCCTGTAGCTCCCCTTTAGATATTGAAAGGCTGCTCTGCTATCAGGTCAACTTGGAGTCTTCTCTAGGCTGAACAGCCTCAGCGGTCTCAGCCTGACCTCACAGAAGAAACATTCCATCTCTTGGATATTTTTGTGGCCCTCCTCTGAACATGCTCCAACAGGTCTATGTCTTCCCTGTACTATCCGCAGGTCACTGCACAATATGGATTTCTGACAAACTATACTTTTCAACACTTTTCATCACTTCACTCTCAGTATTCTCTATTTCATTCACTTACAACTCCACTTTTCTCTATTGAAGGGAAGCATTTCCCAACTTTTTTTTTTCACTTCTGGCTTGCCAAGATGAAGAGAAATACATTTAGTGATAGCAAAGATCACACCTAATATCAAATATATAAATAATTTTAACAAAAATAAAATTACATCCCAATCGTAACTTTATAGTTATTTTTGAGAAATATAAAAGCGTATGAAAGCAGGAAAATAAAAATGTACATAACTCAAAGGCATAAAAGAATATAAACCAAAATCTTTTCTAAAAATTTGACATATAAAAACAAATGTCCTATTTTACTTAACCTTTTGGTAAAAGTAAACTTTTTAAAATGAACTATGTATGAACTATGAACTATTCAATGTAAACCTTACTATAAAATTGCTTTAACATCCTTTTGTTAATTACACAGTACTTTTCACAATAGCAAATAGCTACTGGTAGGCATGGTAGCTTTGATGTATCTGCCAAAGATAGTGGTGAAAAATGTACAGAACCTCTCCACAATAACTAAACCCTAGGAATAGTGAAATTTATTTATCCATGGTTAAGATGAAGAAGAAAAAAATTACCAGAGAGACCTGTGCCATAGGCCACTCTGTGGGCAGTAACAGTTACTACTTTCTTTTTGTTTGCCCCACCTACAATTGCATCTTCTTGTTACAGCTGGTGCTTCTCTACAACTGGAACCTCCCCAACCAAGCTGGAAGAGAAGACCTACTCCTTCCCCTATTAGATTTTGCAAGAATGACACAAACTGACCTTAAAGAAGTATCCATTTTCCCTGCCACATGCAATGCTGGCCTTTGCTGGGCAACTACACATTTAAACTCACAATGACAGTACCATGGTAATACAAACACATCCTCTGAATTCAGGCAGCTTCAATAGCACACACAGGGCAGCAGCAAATGCAAGACAGCCTGACTTGCCTTAGTTCACAATGGATCTGACTACAGACCATTGGTATCCTGGACTTGACCACTCCAATGTGTTTCTTTACAATAAAGTCGCACATTTCGTTTCTCCACTGCCTTCCTTTTCTGATCTAAACTCATTAAGACCCTTTTGTGCTCTTCTCCCATACTGTCCTGAGAAGCCAAGTTAATTTCAGATTGTTTTTTTCCATTCTTTACTCATTAAGTGCAGTAACAAGTTAGAGCAGGTCACTCTTCACAGGTCCCCTACTAATAGTGGCAGGGCAAGTGGAAGAAAAAAAAATGAAAAAGGAGCAAAGCATGCTAGTGCCAGAGCTTTCCAAGCTGATTAATCAGCCTCTCTCCTGGCGCCTGCCTGCTATCCATCCCACTCTTCTGCCTTAGACTTAAAACCAGTTTAAGACCACAGAATGGCCAGGGTTGGAAGGGATCTCAAGGACCATGAATCTCCAACCCCCTGCCACAGGCAGGGCCACCAACCTGCCCATTTAATACTAGACCAGGCTGCCCAGGGCCCAATCCAATCCGGCCTTGAACACCTCCAGGGATGGGGCATCCACAACCTCTCTGGGCAGCCTGTTCCTTACCCCTCTCATAGTAAAGAACTTCCCCCTGACACCCAATCTATATCTTCTTCAACTTAAAACCACTGCATGATATTCATGCATGAGTGTATGGCTACTGTCACTACTGCTCTCACATTCATGAGGAACAGTCGTACTTCAGATACTTTCAGATTTGAACATCTCTCTTGTATAGCAACAAGTAGATTTTTGCTATCTTTTTAACTCTTATCCTACCATTTGGTTGAAGTACAGAAGTAAATTGTAAAACTAATATCTAGTGCAACAGTAACATAAGTAACAGACTGCTGCTTCAGTCCTGTACTTGAGGTTCCCTTATGCATTAAATAGGGAAGAAAAAAAACAATTATGCAATCTTAAATTCTGACATTTATACCCATGCAAGAAGCATGAAGAGTTGCTAAATGCTTCTTCCACTGAAGAGAATCAAACTTGGGCTGTATCTTCCACACAGTATGGGAGAACTGGCTGTACACCTCATGCTGAGCTGGTAGGGACTGTCTCATCCCCTGATTCCCCATCTGAACCTCAGCCTACATAATCAGAAGCCATACCTAATTTTAGGCTAATGGAAAAAGCATCAACAATGCCCAAATGTTTGAGTTCTACAATCTGTAAGGCAACAGTAGGGCGAAAAGCTGCTAGTAAATATATTAAGTTTTAACATCTGTAATATCAGATCAGCCTCTTCAGATGCCAACTATTCTATATATTAAGTAATGAACATCAACTCTGCACGTAAAGTCACACATCACATAGGTAGCATTTCTTAATGTAAAACAATAATCCACAAATCCACAACCTTCCACATCTGAGGAAGGTTAAGGAAATTCAGAGGAGGAATTCCTGGTTAAGGAAATACTATCCAGCGTAAAGCAACTTTATAAATAAAGACAAGCTATCAATATTCTTAGAACATACCCCTAAAGCAGAAAAAAGAAACACCACAGTGTATGCCATTATCAAAACACAAAATTTGCTTGGTAAGTATTCCTACTTAGAGATTATCACCTAATGTTCCATAATACACAGAGCTTATAGGATTTGGGATAGGGCAGCCTGCCCTGCTGTCTTTTGTTGGCTGAGATCCTTAAGACTTCCACCGGTATTCCATCTTTTCTGTATACTATTTCTGAAGAAACCTGGCTCTCATTGTACATGTGTCAATATGCTCTTTTGAAGAACACTGTGCTGCACTGCACATTACTGCCCTAATAAATACAGGTTATTCTAAAATTAATGTCTCCTATATATTCCAATGGAGACTACAAATGGTATATAGAGCATAATAACACTATTTATAGAGCAAATCTCAGCTACAAAAACTATTTTTCAATGCAGTCACCATCATTAGCTATGCATTTTGGCCAGTAATTAACAAGAGGCCGCATGATACGCTCATAAATATCTGCACGGCCATACAGAACGTGGCTTGTATTTCATGCTGATGTCACCACTGCTGAAATGCACTACCCAATGCCTCACTGCGCTCACATCCACTGTTTGGGTTCCATAAACATTCAGCAAATATTGATGAACATCAGTGGGTGCCATTTTTTCCACATGGAGGAACTCAGTTACACTCCGTAGGTTCACACACACCTCCATGTCAGATACCAGTTTGTCAGACTGCCCCTGTGCTGCCATCTGTCACACAGCAACAAAATGCAATGGAATATTGGTAGGAAGGTTCAACTTCTACTGCCATGATGGTAACACCCACCAACAATGTTGCAGGCCAGCATAATAAAATATGTTACTTTTGGGCATTAATTTTGGAACAGCCCTTGTAAATAAATATCTAAGCTGCGAGAAGTCAAAACTCAGGTGTGAGGGCCATGGCAACATAATGAGCTTTTATCTTTGCTTGCCTAACAGATATCCCATGCCCAATTTGCACTGAACTGGCCTTCCACCATTGAACCTTGAGTCCAACTCTGCTTTGCCCTGCCTTTTACACAGTGCTCTCATAGAGCTTCCATGTCCCTGTGTGAAATCTGAAGCCACAGCAAACACAACAGCTAATGTCATTGGCCAACGCTAAATAGGAGGCATTACCTCCTTCAGAAGAACCTTTCTTCAGAACAGCCCTCATAAATCAATTAGAGTAATAATTCTAGGAACAGTGACTTATTTCTACCATTGCCAAATAATTATAATACAATTTCTCATATGATCTATTTCCCACCCTAAATGTGTGTTAATATCATAAATGAGGGAATTAAAAGCTGTCATCATTTCTACTTCATATATGCACAACTGAACACTAATTGTGCTGCATAAGTAACTACTTTGTGTATAACTCTACTAAAAAAGCTAAGCAATCTGAACTTGTGAAAATTTTAGTACTTTTCTAGAAGCCCATGTGTGAAAATGAGACCCCAACAATATTCATCTTATTTTAATGCTACTCAAAACTGCTGAACTTTACATGGCTTCTTTACCCACCTCCTGAAACTTACTACAGCACTGCGTGAAACAGTACTGAAAGCTGGCTCATACAGCATTACTCATTATGAATAAGGGACAAACAACTTGAACCTCACAGGCTAAAGAAGTGGTAGGAAAAGAAAAGTATTTGAAGAAGTGAGGACGGGAAGCTGTGAAAAAGAACAGTAACTAATCTACAAAATATGAATAGTTCTAGGGAAAAAAAAATACAGACCGAATTTTCCTCCTCTTCTTCTAGTTCTCTCTGCTGCTCCTCGTGTCTCTTTGCCTTTATCTCCATAGCTTCAGTGATAAGGTCCCTTAAAATTGAAACTGGCTTGGCATTCTTAATAAACGTATGCTAGGGAAAAAAAAAAATTTAATGACAATTACAATAGATATGGTTCAGATACAACTGCAAGCATTATTCATACCGACGACTTCAGTGATAAATGGTACTTCACATCACACAGTAATTCAAATCTAAAACATGGTAATTTTCAACTACTTCATAACTAAGATTTCACTTCTATTTACCCACTCTGTGCTGGTACGGCCCTATAATATAAGGACATGAAAATATGAGGAGCATCCAAACAAGGGCTACGAAAATGGAGAAGGATTCAGAAGGCGAGATGTACGAGGAGTGGCTGAGGCCGCTGTGTTTGTGCAGCCCGGAGCAGAGGAGCTGAGGGGAGGCCCGATGGCGGCTGCAGCTCCTCACAGGGAGCGGAGGGGCAGCGCTGAGCCCTGCTCCGTGTGACAGCGACAGGGCTGAGGGAACGGCATGGAGCTGCGTCAGGGGAGGGGCGGGTGGCGGTCAGGGACAGGGGCTGCAGCGGAGGGCGGCGGGCACGGAACGGGCTGCACGGGGCAGCGGGCACGGCCCCATGCTGACAGAGTTCACAGAGGGTCTGGACAGCATTCTTGGACATGGGGTTGGAATTTTGGGTGATCCTGTGTGGAGCCAGAAGTTGGACTCACCGATTCTTCAGGGGACATTTCCAGCTTATTCTACATAACTATGATTTTTATTAGAAAAAAATAAACAAACGAAACAAAACATAAAGCAGCAAGGCTTGGGAAATGTAACTACAAAACAAGAGCTTTATAGTTAGGGACATAATTGTCCCAAGGAAATGTGCATTAAGTAGTAAATAAATAGAGTGGTGATTGTCTGACATAGAAAAACAAACTTTTTCAGATATTCAGTTACAGTATTTAATTAATCTTAACAAGCTGACAGCATAAATTAGTGGCTATAAGTGGAGCAAGTATGGCTGTTGCTTACTTCAACAGAGCTGTACTTGAATATGTCATAAAACATTTCTCCATCTAGGAGGGTGAAATGTGGAACAAGCGAAAAAAAGAAAATACATTACTTTTAGCAGGAAGAATAATTTTGATTCAAAGCCATTTAAAGCATTAGCTCCTCCCTGAAGACAACCTGTAGATGATACCATTTACATTCCTTTTACTCTCTAATAACCCCCTACTGTTATAAAAATTCTTGTCTTGCATTATCATATGAAAGTACAACTGAGTAAAAAATGTAGCTCTCAGCACTTCAGAAACATTATTACTGATTAAAATACTGTTCCATGAAGAACAAAATTGATAAATCCTACTGTTCTCCTTTGCCTATTACCTATCCTGTCCCTTGATATATGAATTCAATTACACTTCTTTCCCCTCCATAATTGTTCCTCACAAGTGGTATTTTCATTCCCACTTGCACTCCTCCAGCCTACCTATGGCACCTCCTGCTCCACTGCACATGTTTCAACTGGCAAAAAGGCAACGGATACAACTAAAGACGCAGTAGTTGGTCTTCTGGCCAGTACACATAGGGAACATGTAACACTGAAGGTTTTTTGTTACTTGTATGCATTAATACGAGTCTCTTCTAACCAGATGCAGTTATTAGTTAGCATACAAATTTCTGATCTTGAAGGTCTCAAGTAATGATACAGTCATCAAATTAAAACCCTGAATTTCAACTTTTACTTCCCTTCTATTTTACTTTCCATGAGAAGTAAAATAATTCATGCCATTCAATATTAATTTTATAATTTATTATTGAAAACTATGTTGAAAGTTATTCTTTTGTTTTTTTGTAAATTTACAACGAGCATGTTCCTACTTCAAGACAGAATAAAGGTATCACAATTCTCTTAGAGCAGGAATTTCAGAAGATCAGATTCTTATGTAGATTGACGAAATGAAAATTAAGAACAATATTTACCAATATTTACCAGTAGCAGTGAAAAGAATACAAGAATACCAAATTATCTAAAAGCTTACTTAATTTTTTGCTTCTTGTTAGCAAAGAATGCTTATTTCTGGGAAATTTTAGATTCCATTTCAATCATCAAGGAACCTACTACAGATATTCTTTTTTTTTTTTTTTTTTTTTCTTTCAACTGCCTTTCTTCCAGAACATAAAGGTAAACATGATTTCCTTTGGTTATTTGAAGGTTGACTATGACAGTATTGAAGTGGATAACAAAACTAAAGGAGGAAACAAAACTAAAGGAGCATACTTTCTTCATGTTTTCCCTTTTTATTGTGCACCAAAACATGTAGCCCTCATAAAATTTTGTTGGTTTCACAATACTACACCTTCCTTGACAGATCAGTTCCTCCTGTTTGTTTTTTGTAGTTCTTCGAAATTTCTCTGCTTTATTTGTATCTAAAGTACCAAAACATTAAATGGTTCTTAGTACCAAATGTTGAATTTCCAAGCAACATCCAGGTTAGTTCACTGAGTGACCTAAAGCCTGGTGCATCGGTTCACACTGTCAACCGTGGTTGTAATTTAGAAGTGCTCAGTTGGGGTAAAAGCCCAAGAACTGCCTCTTTATCCTGTCCATTCATATCAGATCCTTCTAGGACACAGAACAACCTGTCTTGTTTAATTTGGCATGACCAAAAGGGCAGATTAAGTATACTCCACGGGTGGTCCCTACCGAAGGGTTCCTTTACATAACACTGGCCTAAACACTATGATCTACTGAAGGCCTCTAATTACCAAATAAGAACCCATTTTTAATACTAAGAACCAGCTCTAACCTTCAAAAGAGGAAATAATTGTTTAGAAATAACAAAGAAGGAACAAAACAGTGCTGGAGATACAGATGGTGATAGAGGAAAGAGCTCAAAATGGAAAAGAAATAAGGCAAGAGATGTGCTGTTAAATTTTCACAACCATTCTGGTTTGAGACTAGGTGAGAAAGCCATTTCCTCTGAAACTTGACTGACCTGCAGCAGCTGTGTTGCTGTAGCTCTTTGTTCAGGATTTTTCACTAAGCACTTCTTCACGAAATCTGTGAATTCATCAGACCAGAGCTCCGGCTTCCGAAAGGTTGGAGGGGGATTTGTAGGAATCATAAAAATAGCCTAGATAAAAAGCAAGAACAGAAAGTTCAAACAAAACACATCATCATAGCACTGAATTCAAGGAAATAAATTGCTTTATCCACCTTTCTTATCAAGTTAGGAATCTGGAAGACAAATTTTAAATAGGGTAGGATTTCCACTCAGACTGAGATTCAGGAAGTAAATCCATCTGCTACTAATGTAGCTACTTCCCATCAGATTTTCTCTATTTCAACTGTATCCCATTGAGCACATCACTCTTTACATTATCTATTATTGTTCATCGGTCTCAGGATATAATTTTTTCTTTCAGAAATTCTTGGTAATGGTACTGCTTCTTCAAACAGACCCAGAAAAGGCTCTATGAGAAGCTAAGTTCAACTTTTCATCTCTTAGCTGCATTTAGTCTTATAGGAGAGCTGCTCAGGAGAGTCAGTGAGTCTATTACTTGCTGCTGCATGCTTTATTCAGCTGTATTTTTGAAACTTGCTTTTCTTAAATTTTTTTTAAACAAATGATAAAAGAGCTAAAAGATGACAAAACCAATCAAGTATCTTGCCTATTAGTAAAAAGAATTTACTTAAAATTAGAAAGGAAGCATTTTACCTATACGTAAAAAAAATTCCAGACTGTTGAGAACTATAAAGAGTTTCTTCCACTTTGAAAAAGATTCACGCTACACTCAAAAAAAGTCCTACTTGAGGCTCTGTAAATCGTGCTATTTCTTCTATGCTTTTTACCAGACTTTCTAATTACAGATTTAAGAGGTAAGAAGCAAAGAAAGAAAGAAAAAAAAAAAAAAAAAGAGAGAGAGAAGATAAGCAGTGTGATTCTGAGAGACCACTGTAAAGTAACTGGTAATTTTGAATTTCCACACGTAATACCAAGTGTATACAGCTTCACCTTCTGAAGCAACAAACTATTCACACTACCCAGATCTAGTGACAGAAAATATATTTCTCCTCCTTCCCCCCCCCTCCAAAACTAGTTTAATTACAACCTCTGAACTGAAAAGAAGTGAACATTATGTAAGCTTGCAATCCTTCATTTGTTTCTCTCTACAAGCACAGACAGATTTACGTGCTCAGAAAAGGGGGAAGAAGGTGAAACATGCACGCCATGCACGTTACTTAGCACAGTTGTGGTACTGGAAGCTTCAGACTGTGACTGAAGAACAGAGCAAAAGGAAGAAAAAACTTGCAAAGATTTTACCCATAACTTCTTGAGAAGCTCGACTGCCCTTCAAAGCCTGTTTAATTTGTACAAAATCCTCATTCTAAATTCTTTCCCATACGCTGAAGAAAAGCAAAAAACATTGCTGAATAATATAAGAACTATTTACTGCATTTTTAAAGAAAAAATATTTTAGTATCAGATACTTCTTTTCAAATCTAATATTTACAGAGCTTATTTTACTATATAATGCTGTCTAATTCAAAAACTAGAGGATCTGCATTTTTTTTAAAATAAACTAAGATGTATGTTACAACAGCTTTATTTTTCAAACTAATTTTTAATAATCAAACTAACATTGCCAAACTAATGTATGATCTCAGATTGGAAAAGCAGTGCTCTATTACCTTGTAATTGTCCTTAATTACTTACTTGTGATATAAAATTGTCAGTACAGGTGAAGTGCTTCTGGTAAAGGAGTGGCTAACAAATTCAGCTGCTCCTGTCCTTGAAAGTAATGACCTATTTGAACTCTGAACTGATTTTAATCTTATCTTTAGCTACTCTTAACAGCTAACTCTGCAGTAGCTATTGAAAGCACACAGCTATCACAGAAAACCAGTGACTTCTGTTTACATGGTATCAAAACATATACCTCCTATTTGACAATGAGCATTGACCTATGTCTCAGCATATAAGCAAAGCTTAGCTCCGGAATTCTACTGAGCTGCAAAGTTCTGGAAAAATTATTTCCTTCTGCAAACTATTTTGATCAACTACACAGCAGTGAAAATCATAGCAAAGAACTGACATCTTTATCATTTACAAAGGACAGCAAGAAGAAAGATAGAAAACATGAATCATTCTTTTACAGCAGGCAATAAAAATCACAAAAGAAGATATTCAAGAGCTAGAGTCAAGATCCTAAGAACACATTTACACTTTGTAAATTTGTCAGAAGTGACAATTTCAGAAACACATACATCTATTTAATGCATACACTACAGGTTTTTTTAAATGTTGGTATGTGACATGAGCTGTGATTATCTGAAAATAAAAATATGGATTACATTGCCATTTTTTTTAATGCAAGGACTCATTTGGAAACTAATTCCTTCTTTCCAAATGTGTAGTCCAACTTGTTAATTATGTCACACACTTCCTAGTGTAACCTTTCTTTTCCATCTGGAGCAGGCTGTCCAGAGAAGCTGTGGGGTATTCTCCCCTGGAGATATCCAAAACCCACCTGGATACCTTCCTGTGCAACTTCCTGTAGAGAAACTGCTTAGCAGGGGAGTTGGACTGGATGATCTCCAGAAATTCCTTCCAGCTCCTACAATTCTGTGATTCTGAGATCTCTCATCACTCCCTTTCCTTACTTAGCCTGAAATGCTGGAGGTTATATTCAAATCCATCTTGCCCCTTCACTTCTTAATTTTGGCTTGCACGCTTGTATGCAAAATGTTAAGCTCCCTTTCACCTTCAAAGGAAGTCCATGATTTAACTTCCAGCTTCTTCTGTTTCCTTCCAAGAAACTTGCAAAGCAACCACTAGAGAATTATAAACTTAGTTCCAGATCACCAGGAATAAAACCAAAATTCTTATCTAATAGGAATTTATTCATCATTTTTTCTTCCATTTATTACCAAATATATCTTTTCTATCTCAACAGAACTCAGTCATTTTAAAATAAATCTAAGGTATTTCAATTACTGTCTTCCATGGCTGCCAAGATAGGATGTTACTTACATTCTTCTTTCATCTTATCCTGTGTTTCCCACACCTACTAATGTTGATGGTTTGGGTTTGATTCTTTTGTTTTGTTTTTCTGTTTGTTTATTAAAGAAAAAAAAGAAAACACACACCACAAACACAGTATCAGCAAGCACTTAATATATGCTACCATCCACCTAACTGGATGGGCTAAGCTGGCAGTGCCAATCACAGGAAACATTCAGGGGAATTTTATTCCACAGACAAGGCTCTGACTCATTAAAAAACAGAGTGTTAATTCTTCTCTTTCCCACCTTCAACATCACCTTCCACACTTCCCTGTGTATCTGAGACAGACTGGTACATCTTACTCAAGCAACACATCACACAACCAGCTGAGACATTAGATTGAATGACTCCGAACCTTCCATTTTAACCATTTAATCATCCTTTTATTCATAAATAAATGCCTAAGCTGTGAGATGTCAAAACTCAGGCCTGAGTGACCATGACAACTTAATGAGTGTTTATCTTTGCCTGCCTAACAGACAAACCATGCCCAATTTGTCCTAAACTGGCCTTTCCACCTCTGAGCCTTGAGTCCAACTCTGCTTTGCCTCGCCTTTCACACAGCATTCTTAGACAACTTCCACAGCCCTGGGTGAAATCAGAAGCTACAGCAAACGTGCTATCTACACAAATAAAGAATGGGGAGTGGCACTGAAGGTGTTGTAGTAGCAAAAAAACCCACAAATATAAAACACTATATAATCTAACAATTTCTACCATAACTGTTGACCAATCTACTCTGAAAGAATGTATCAGCACAATAAGCGGCTGCTGTAGTCAAGCTCAGTGTTGAACAGAGGACCAAGTCTCAAACTAGAGCAAAACAGCAATTCAGGATAGAATTTGCTTTTTATGATTCTTAAAGGGAACAAAATTTTGGGCCCTATAATGAAGTCCAGGCTGCAATCATTTCTTCCATGAAGAATCTATCATGGACAATTTTTTATTGGTGTGAAAATGCAATTAGATGAATTAGGAAATGCCAAAAGAAAAATGATATCCTCATATACTGCATTTGGAATTTCCTAATCAGAAAATCCTTGAGGCTCATTCCCTCCTGTCAGTCAGGGTAATACCACAGCCCAAGAACACATTAAGTAATCAACAGGAACTCAGTTGAGGTTCTACTCTTTTTTTTTTTTTTTTTTTAAGCTCCATCACTTAGGTTAAGTAAGTGACTTGTAATGAAGTATTTTGATTTCCAGCTATTTAACCATTAGTTGTCATTTGTTCAGTATCATGGATGTAACTGAAGGATACAGCAAAGATTTTTCATTCCTGTGCTGTGAAGTAGCACAGCTAGACTCTGCAGAAAACAGACTCAAAAATATTTTTAAATCCGGCAGCATATTTATGAGTACAAAATACTATTTAAGAAGCAGGATGGGGTAAGGTATTGAATACTGCAACATGTTACTGCTTTAGAAACAATGAATCAACTGAGAAAAAACATATCATTTTCTTCTGAATTATGTTAAAGAACTTGCTTCCCCTCTTGCAGAGCCTTCAATACAGCTATTGAAATATCACTTACTTATTTCTCACTGCCTAGGAATAAAACAACAGCATGGGGAAGGTCAACAAGACCAAGCGCCAGGTCCTGCACTTCAGTCACAACTACCGGCACTACACTACAGGCTTGGGGCAGAGTTGTTGAAAAGCTACATGGAGGAAAAGGATCCGGGAGTGTTGGCCAACACTGAGCTGAATATGAGTTAACAGTTTGCCCAGGTGGCCAAAAAGGCCAGTGGCATCCTGCCTTGTATCAGAAATGGTGCAGCCAGCAGGAGCAGCAAGGTGACCGTCCCCCTGTACTTGGCACCAGTGAGGCCGCACCGTGAGTGCTGTGTTCAGCTTTGGGCCTTTCCTTACAAGGAAGACATTGAGGCCTTGGAGTGTGTCCAGAGAAGGGCAACAAAGCCATGAAGTTTCTAGAGCACAAATCTTATGGGTAGCAGCTGAGGGAATTAGGATTGTAGAAGAGGAGGCTTAGGGGAGACCCTACTGCTCTCTACAACTCCCTTACAGGAGGTTGTAGTGAGGTGGGAGTCATCCTCTTCTTTAGG